TATAATAATTCGATCAAATTATTAGACGCACTGTAGTTTTTTAATAATTACATGATTTGCAGTTTAAATGCAATACTTTTATATTTAAACATGCATGTAATTTCTTTTCATTTAGGAGATTTCTTATATACTTATATACTTCATATTCGTATTTATTTTTAACTTATTGCATTACAATGTTAAACAATTGATACAGGAGCGTTTACAAATACAAACCGGTTTCATCGGAGTAAAAACAATACAGCTGTATAGTATCACTTGATAATTATAATTTTACATCGAATCTTATAGTGCGTCTAATAATATGCGTCTAATAATAATATGGTACTTAAATTAAAATTACGACATTTTCAAAATTGGATTTCTCAGGTCCGAGCGATTCGATCAATTCGCCTAAATTTTGTTTTTTTTGCCATCTAAAACTACATTATTTAAGATGATGTAAATAATTGTATACCTTACAATTAAATTTTTTTCAGCTATTATCAAATAAAATAATAAAAAAATAATAAATATTTACTAAAAGTTATTCTTTTCCGTAAAATTATCATTGGATATACGAATATTATAATTGTAATATTTTCCAATTCGCTGAATATTTCCCAAATTGCGACTACCCTCTATATTTTGAGGGTCAGAAATCTAAATTAGTTTAAAAAAAGCCTGTTTTTTTCGAGAAAATACGGTTTTGTATCTGATTTTGTAACTTGAAATATTGCCTGCACTTATTAATTTGCATATTTGATGTCACCTGACTCGAACAATTAAGACTGAATCTTAGGAAGTGAAAATTCGATCATTAGATCAAAAGTTAATCAGAGTGGTCATTAGCAAGTGCAACCTTAAATAGAACAATTTAAGTGAAGTTACATACTATAGTTCTTTGCTGTTTAAAGAACAGTGGCTGCTAAACGCTTAAAAGCAATTAGTTCGACATTTCTAATGGTTTGTTACATTTGTTGAATTTGTGTTGCCATACAGGTTACACTGCACCGGAAAGTGTCAACAACCATAACTAACGAGTAACCATGCACTTTTGAAATTAAAAACAAAATTTAATGCTTTTAAAGAAAAACCGGTATTTTCCGTAACTTGCGGTTTAGTATTTGAATTAAAATTTGCGTAATTCAGCAGAGTTTTTTTTTTCTTTTTTTCCTACATTTTTACGGAATTTTTTACTGTGTATTGGTATATTCAAAGAAGGATAAAACTGCTTACGAATTTCCGTTTATCTGTTTTGAAAAATTGCATTATTCATCTGCGATTTACTTTTTACGTTATAGTCTTTATAGTATTCGATTAGTATCTGAAATAACTGATGAACAGTGAACAGAATCTCGTATTTATGTGGAAATAGCTGGTACATTTCATGTGTGAAAAAAATGCTTTCAAATTTCCTTCAATTTGTTTTCGCAACTTTTCAGATAGGTACCAATTTTATTTATCTATGATTTAATTTTTACCTAATAGTCTTCACACGTCAAGGAAGGGAGGAAAAGGGTTATAAATCATTCATTTTTTTTTCTCTATCAGTAAATCCTTTCCCACAGAATTACATAAAACACGAAAAGGATTTTAAAGATATATACACCTTCAAAAGACTTAATGGTAGACATCCAACATGCTTTGAATTTTGTGACACTGATTATTACGGCGTCATCAATAGCTGTTGATAACTGGATTATGTAGAAAAAAAAAGCTACAAAAAATGGCATATAAACGACGCTATCCCTTGCAGCAATTTACGAGTTTAAAAGTATATTATTTCTCCTTTTTACTTATCATGTTTCCAAAATGAGGCATTTGTATGCAGTGTTTGAACTAAAATTTATCTTAAGATTTTTTTTTATCTTTTCACGTTTTGCAATCTGGTGAGATTGGCATGCAGTTTTAAAGAATCTTTTATAAAAAAAATCATGAGATTTTTGAAGTCAAATTTAAGATAAATTATAAAGCCATTAATGTAAAAAGTATACAAAAATAAGAAGTTGTTTGTAATATATTCAACTGAAATTGATGCAGAAAAATATTCTACACGAAATCCTAAAATTTGGAGGTCAAATAATTATTAATTGCAAGTAAAACTGTTTATGCAGTGGTATACTTCAAATATTAGGTGGACCGAAAAATATAAAAGAAAGTATAAGTTCGGTGCATTCGATATTTGTTATTAAGATTTTATTTTTATCAATAACGTATTCACCCTCGTTAGCAACAACCTTTCAATGACGTATCGAAAATGAATCGAAAAAACTGAATTGGTTTTTAAGACTAACGAATATTTAATGCGCCGAAAAGACATTATTTTTCGGTCCCCCAATATGTATGTAGCCAATTTCAACATCAATCAAAGTCAAGTCGGGAACTAATATTTTAATTCTTAGAAGGAGAATCGAAAATAAAAAATCAGGGCTTCGAAATAGTATTTCGAATTTGACAAAAAACTTTTTTTTTATCAAAGTTTTAAAAAAAAGCCTTTTCTAAAAAAGATTAGGCATTAGATGCTCTTGTTAAAACCAGGAAGATATTTAGACTAAAGAGTGTTATCGAATTTGTCTAAAAATATAGATTTAAAACTTTCCCCTTGAATTCGGCAACAAATATCTGTTTTATCGAGATAAATAATTTTTGCAACCAATGTTTCCTCTAACGTAAAATTGAAACGGTAAATATTTTGTCAACACCCAGTCAAATATTTTGTCAAAAAAAACCCCTAAAAATTGAAGAAATATTAAGCACAACCTGAACCATTAAAAATAGCCTTATGATACTTAATCTTTACATAAATGTCGAACGGAAATATTAATTTATTGAAAAAAAAGTATGTATAAAAAGTATGTTAATCTTAACTCAGAAATATTTTTTTTTTAAATAAAGTGCAAAAAAGTGTCCCTTAACAATTTCAAAAACAAATTTTAATATAATTTTAACCAAAAATCTGCAAGAAGAATATTTTCCTTTACTGGATCATACGAAGCAACTGATATATTGTATACCTATTAATTAAGAATTCTATGAGATATTTAGATACTTCTGCAATTTTTGAATGGCAGAAATAGAATAGCTGAATTGAGAAAAGTTCAACAAAGAAGAAGTTCTTCCGTAAGTAATTATGATATTGACTAAATACGTACACTAATTAACGCTTGTTTCCAAAAAGACATAATTGAATAATAATTAAGAATTGAATAATAATTAACAATTGAATCAAAATGCTATGACTGTCAAAATAAGAATCCAGTTTTTCAAAATGTTTCTTCTTTTGTGCCCTAACCAACTAAATTTATTCTGCATTGAATATATTTTCCTTTTAAATTATCTCGCCATTGTGGAATTGTCAAAAAGAGTGTCATTTGTTAAGAGACTAGCGCATTTTTCTGATTGCTTCTTTTAGGGAGAAGCAAGTATGTTCTAATTAGTAAACAATGCTCATAACAAATCGAGGTCTTTGAAATTATCACAAAACTTAATTGATTTTGCATTTTTCATTTCATTCATTTACGGATAAAACTAATTGAAGCTAAAGTAAATTTAAACTAAGAATTGCAAATTTTGTGATTATCATAATATTAATCAAAAATACTTACGCAAGTATTGGTTTGATAAAAGTAAATGCCTTATGTTTACTTTATTAATAAAGCTAAGTATTTCTTAAGAATCACAAGAATAGTTATAATAATAGTATGCTTAAAATATGTCGAAGACAAAATAATTTAGTTAATTAAAATTATTATGATAAATGCTTTTGATGTATTATTATGATAACAGCTTGTAAATGTATGAGCAAATTTTATATTCACTAATCTACAAAAATATTGATCAGTATAAGAATTTCATGTTATAAGATGCATTGGTTTTCATTCTCTTCAATTAAATTATTTCAGATATTCATTAAATATCTTTAATTTTATATTTTACTTTTATATCTTTAAAAATTATTTCCTTGTTGATATTAGCTGCACTAACATTCTCCTACTTGCTATCATTTTAGAAGGTCAATTATTTGAAATTTAGCCTACATTTTTGCTATTTAAGGTTTTGAGGAGAAGAGCAAGTTTATTTGAATAAATTAAGTTTGTAAATCATTCTATTACTTAGTGGATTAACTACTTATTGGGTTAACTGAGTGGGTTACAGTAAGTTTGACCTCCCTAACTGATTGTGAAGTTTCCAGTAAAAAACACGAGAATATAAAATAACTTTAGTAGGGATTAATTTGATTCTTTTTTAATTTATTTTTTTTACTTATTTTTTAAGCAATAAACATTCAAAAAGTGAAAGATAAGCCATGTACATCAAATAAATCTCTTTTAGAGTTTTTTTTTACTCTTATGTTTTAAATTAGAAACTTCTCAGTTCAGAAGGTCCAAGTCAAGGTAATACAGATGATACCAAATAATGATAATTAAATAAATATAGAAAACTGAAATCTTGTTCGATGTAATTATTTTCTTAGCTGCTTCTTTTTGAATGTCAATTGTTTAAAGAATAAGTAAATAAGGAAAAAAGTTAAAAAGTTTTTTTAACTTATTTTTAAACAATTGACATTCAAAAAAAAATTCACAATTTTCTATATGTATTTAATTATAAGTAATTGGAAATACATGTATTACCGTAAGTTCGAGCTTCTGAACTGAGAAGTTTCCACTTTAAAACATTGGCATAAGAAAAAAAAACCTAAAAGAGAAATTTATTTGTGATATTTTTAACATTTCTTCTTTAATTTTTGAACAATTAATATTCAAAAAGTGAAAACTAAGAAATCATTAATCCCATTATGATTTCACAATTTTCTATAGCTATTGAATCTAAATCTATCCAAGTTTAAAGAATTAAGTAATATTTTTACGAATTTCTTTTAAAAAAAACTGGTATTTATTTAATAAAAAATTATATGCGGTTAATATGGTAATTTTTACTATGAAGAAAATTATTTATTGCTGCACAAAATATAAAAAAGTTTTAGAAAATAATATTTTGTAAAATAAATATTCAAGTACCTCATAGTGGTGAAATTATAGTTCACCACATCTTTATGCTGTCCAGTTGAAAATATCTGTAATGTCAAGCTTAGAAATTATTAAACTTTTTCTTCTTTCATTTCATGTAGATTAAAAAATGGAAACTGTCACAGCTACCTGTAATATAAAATTTCAAAGGTTAATGAAACAAAATTATAAACTTTTAGTTAAAGACATTAATAACAGTGAAAACTTATAATTACATAGTTTTCGCTATATCGAAAGCGCTACGCTACAGGAATTCTAATCACTATTTTTTTCAAATAACGATTAACAGTTTCGAATTCGAGACCCAAAAATGCTATAATTTTTCAACCATTTCCCCAAATGTAACATTTATATAAAATTTCTACTAATCAGAGGAGAGACAACTAATTTCCAGTGTTTATATGTCTGTATTTTTAATGTTTTGAACTTGATTTTTAGTTATGAAATTGAAGCAAATTGATGCTACAAAATACATTTTTTCGGCATCGAGATGAATTTGTTTGGTGTCATAAAAATGGCTGCAATATTAGGCTTAAATTATTATTATTATTTCTTTTTATACCAATGAGAATCAGAATAATTACTTTTTTAAGTAAATTATAAAGGAAAAGTGCAGGACTTGGGAAAAATCAAATATTTTATTTATTTTATATTCGTAGAAAAAAATACTTACTACTTTTCATAGAATTCCCACTTTAATTAGTGCTTAAAATCAATTGGAGAAAAAATTTGGTACTTTTAAAAAAAAAGCTAAAATAATTCATAAAAATACGACAATTTTTTTTTATTAATACCTTTAAAAATGTATAAATGTCAGGTTAGTAGAAAATTAAAAACGTAAATAAAGAAATTTCATTTTTGTTTTTAGGAATCGTTAAGAATGGCAATCGCAGGCATAGATATAACTTGCAAAAAACTAAATAAGCTTATAAGCCTATAAAACTAGAATGAACAAAATATATTCAACTACATCATTAAACAACATTCCGGTTAATGTTGGCAACGAAGGAAAAATATAAATCGCTTTGTATTTCTCAAATAAAATCTTTTTTTTTGACAAACCTTTACCAGTTAAAATATTTTAACAAGCAAATTTTTTTTATAAAATCATGAATTTAGATCATAAAAACATAATATGAATCAATTTGAAATTCATGAGTACCATGAAAATTGTAAAATGCCTTTTATTGTCAGCACAAACTAACAATAAAAAAAGCTCATTGACGAAGTAAGTGTTAGGTGACATTCTAATGAGTTAGTAAACATTAACTTTTAAAAATATAGCCACAGCAAAAGAAGCACAAAAGTTTTCTTTAAAACCATCTTAATTCAACTCTAGAAAAAACTATTTTAACAAAACATTTTATAATTTAGGATAAAATTAGGTAAATGATGTAAAAAAATTTTATGAAAATATTTTAGAGAAGGGGATAAAAACCATTTTTTCAGTTTACTTGATTTCAGTTTTGTCTTGTTTACTGTATGGTAATAAGAACTATAATTCAGAATACCAGAATTTCAGGTAAACCGTTATCATATGAATGCAATCATAACCAAATAAATGGCTTAAATACCGTATATTTTGTTTTTATTAACCAGAATTATGTCTTTTCTATTACCTGAAATGTCATTACCATACATTCAATTTTACTGGTATTTTTTTCCCGTGCAAATTTAAAATAATAATGTCACATAATATGTTGTATTTTTTCATTAAAAAAAGAAAAGAACATATTTTAGGGACATATAGAATTAATAGAAATATTATTCGGAATTTAAGAACCTTTTAAACCTCTCATAATTGCTCCCAATGTGTAAGTAAAGAGAATGATCACGTATTATGTAGTTCTAACTACTTATCTCAAGAGAAATATTCTTGTGTGTTTCTATAGGATTTACTGGTATTAGCACAAATCGAACAGATTTTCATCCCTCTTCCAGCATTCAGTTCTCAGATAAGAAGCAATTCGTGACTAATTGAGAAAATTCATCTTTAGTTCAAGGAAAGGGATTCAACTATATTATAGTTTATAATATAAGGATTCAAGCATAGCTCTCAAAACCTTTAAACTCTACAATGAAACTACAGTAAATAGATAACAGATTCCCTATGAAGCATTTATTTAAATTTGCTCCAATTATGTATTACAATTCATTTTAAATATAAAAAAATTTGTCATTAATCAGAGCACCCGTTATTGGTGTTGTATAAATTTATAAAATAAAATATTGGATTTAAAACAAGTGAATATTTAAATCTTAATATTAAACTATGATGGAATGTTTAATATCTATCCTAAGTTAGTGAAAACATACAGTACCGCTCAAAAGTATCAGTACACCTAGAATTTATTTTTTCGTATTTTTCTCAGAAAAAATACGAAATCAATTAATATTTTGAAATTTATTTGTTCGTATTTTTCTCAGAAAAAATAAATTTCAAAATATTAAATTGTAAACGTTGATTCTTATTTCATTATTATATTTTCCAAAAAAAAAAGTTAAAATTGTTATAATAAATTATGAAATAATATTATCGAGAAATATTAAATTTTAATTTATTTTAATTAAAAAATTTTCATATCATATTATAATTACACTAAAATTCATTATAATTGCTAAAAAATCATTAAATTCTGAAAAAAAAACTTTTTTTTTCATTTGACAATAACTTTGTCAAAAAACAAGTTTTTTTAGAATTTTTTTTAAAATTAAAGCTAAAAGTCCAAATTTTTCAATGGTATAATAAAAATTAACAATGTCTAACCCCTTTGTGCCCGTACATCGCGTCAAACTAAAAAAAAAATAATACAATTTTCTATGATTGTTTAGAGTGTAATTGTACATAGTTGCAAAATATATTAATTAAAAACAATTAAAGTACATAAAAGTAGAGATTTTAAGCTTCAAAATGAGTTAAAGTAGAAGCATTTTTGATCATTTTTAAAGAAGTTATGACACTTTGAATTTTGCCATTTTCTTGTAAGTTTCTAGGTGTACTGATACTTTTGAGCGGTACTGTACACTCTTTTTTTCCAATGCCGACCTGGAGAATGACCTAGATCATAGTACAAGTATCTGAAAGGCAAATTTGTTGATCACTCTTTCAGTGGCACCATATTAGGTGGGCTAACGTTGCTCCCACAGTAAGGACAGATAGTACAGAGAATGAAAGAACACCCATACCTTGCCCGGGATTCGAACCCAGAACCTTTCTGATGCAAGGCCAGATCCCTACACAGACCGGTCGGCGTGAAACCTTACATAACTACTTAGAATTGATTTTAATTCTAAAATTTTAATATAAATTCCGATATTAATAAATTTTTAAATTTTATTTTAGAAAAATTAGGAACGAAAAGGAAATTAAAAATGTCACATTTTAAAATATGTAATATTTAAAATTCTTTCGTTATATCTTCCGAAAGTAAATTTTTTTGCCTTGTTTAAAGATTATTTATTTCTTTGAAATATTTTACGGAATTCAAATAGATCATAATAAGTATTGGAAGAATTCAAGCTTTAGTAAACAGCGTGTATCTAAAGTACATAATCTAAGGAAACACATGATATTGAAGTTGCTGAGATTTAGCAAATATTCTATTCTATTTTGAACTACTTTAAATTTTTATTAAAATGCTTGTAATAGAAGCATGATGGTAAATATTAGTGGTTGAAAAAATTTGTTTATAATTTGAAGCACAATTGAATACTATACATATTCACAAAAAATACTATTTATTCACCAAGAAAGACTTTTCCATCATTTATTATACCTGTCTTCAACAACATCTATTTTAATGTAAATCAGATCTATTAGAACGTTTTACAGAATATTTTGCTTTCCCAAAATTATTAAAATCAAATTTAGCTATTTTAAAATACAGTTTAATTTAACCCATAAATTTAAAAATAAATTACGATATAAATTTCTCAAAAACGTTAAAATCACTGGGGGAGAAATTTACATGGTAAAATAAACAATATTTTATTTTATATCTTGTGAAATTAATTCAAAATTAATTTTACCATGTTTGATTTTTTTAGTTGCTTGAATTAACTGCACTTAGAGAAAAAAAAATATAATCATAATTACTTGAATATAGTAAAATTTATCGTGTATTCTGGCTCTAAGTGGATGGTAATTTTTAGACTAATACTTTAGTAATGACTTTTGGCAAAATTAATAAAAAAATATATTTTCATTGTCATGCTGTTTTGTAGTAAAAGTAGTAAAATTTGGTGATTTTAGCAGTGCTAGTATAATTTGATATAACGCGAAAATGTTCAGCTTAATAATTTTTATGTTATTTAATGCACCCTTATCAAACTTTGATTTTGGTCTGTTAGCATTTTTCACTTCTATGTAAGCTCTAAGCAAGCATCTACAAAACTTTAAAACTCTAAGAAATACGTATTTGTAACTTTACAAATGCCTGGACTAGGCAGAACAAAATCAGTAACCCAAATGTCACGCACCAGACTGTCCCAACATCCTGAAACGGAAGCGTGGAGGTTACGGGTTCGAATCCCACCTCAGCCATGGATTCATATATTTATTTTTAATTATTTATTTTATAATCGTCATTGAACAGCCGACCCGATTTTGATTTTACGACTACTAATGTTCAACTACGTAGTCTTGTAATTTCGAACCCTATCCAGAAGACAAGGGTCAACTCCTGGACCAAGCATTGGGAAAAAGTTTGCTTTCTAAAAGGACTTTTTGATGAAACTATCCAACCTATGCGTTATATGGAGACGAAAGCCGCGAAAAACTCCCATGTTTAGCCCGATGGCAAGGGGACTCTAAGGCATGATTCGTTTACCGCTGAAGATATTTCACGTCAGACTTATTTATTTATTATTACTCGTACACATTACTTGAAATAGATTTTTTTTAAGTTAAAAATTTTGGGGGCTATTTTGGCAGGGCAATTACACCTTTCCGCACAAACGTTATTCAAAATGAAGGCAGTGGGTTCGAATTTAACCATAACGCTTGATGCGTAACTGTAAATATGTTTGGTTTAGATAGGTATACAGGTTTTGTGCTTAATGCAAAGAATGCCCTGATTTTTTGTCAAACTAAACAACAGATAATAATAATAACAAACAGCCCTA